CAAAAAACATTTCTTCAGAGAGCATTACATACTGAGAAGCAATTAAAATCCCTAGAAAGTTATATACACTTAGTATCAAATACATAAAAATTAAAATAACAATCATTTCAAGAACTTCACAAATCCACTGTCAGTGGTAGATTTCTAACACACTTCTGTTAATGTACTAAGAAAAAAATTCATAAAGATAGAGAAAAATTGAACACTGTAATTAACTAGCTCTAACTAATCTATATACAGCACGTGTGTCTTAGTTACTTTTCTCATTGCTGAGACAAAATACCAAACACAAAAAATTAAAAGATTTATTCCAGCTCACAGTCTGTAGAGGTTTCAGCCCATAGTCAGCTGGCTCCAAGGCAGGATGGCATGGCAGAGGGGCGTCGCAGAGAAGAAATACTGTAGTCCATGGCAAGCAGGGAGGAGACAGCAAAGCAGCAGCCTGCCTCTCCCTTTTATTCCTTCCAGGCTACCTGCTCTTTGCATGGTGCCACCCACATGTAGGAGGATTTGTGTGATGCTGGGATCACACAGCCTACATATATCCAGCCAGCCCTGAAGACCCCCACCTATCATTGCATGAGGTTTTGGGGGGACATTTAGATGCAAGCAATAACAATGTGAGATACCCACAAACTACAGTATTCTCATTCTTTTCAACTACACATGGAACTCTTATAAATTGTGACTGCATCCATAAAGCAAGTCTCAGCAAATCAGTATACAGACCAAATTCTTTGATGGTAGTTAAAAAAAAATAAAATAAAACTTTACCAAATCCTCCTCATATACTTGGAAACAAAAATGTCTGTTAAACAACTCAGGAATCACTCATAATGGAAAGAGTATTTTACATATTCTAATTGTTTGAAAGGTCGTCACATTAATGTAACAACTGTGTTATTTAGAACATGTCGATTCTTTCCTCTATTCAGGGTAATTGAGTTTATTCTGCTCTGTCTTCATAACTTTTTAAATAGTGTTTCATTGTTCTCTAAAAATCTCTCCAAAAGCATCTTCTTTTATGCTAACTTCAAAATCAACGAAAATAGTCACAAAATAACCCACCTGAAATTTTCTAAATCATCCTATTTCAAAATCACGCCCAAGACTTCATAAAAATTAAACTAATTATGGACACCTTGCAGCATTAGGTATGGAAACATTTAAAAACCAGTTTTTTCCTGGAAGAATAAAATATTAATTAAAAAATTTCAAAAAGTAATATTAGCCTAACAAAGAATAAAGGAGAAAACTATGAATCTTAAAAAATTATCTTGAAATCCTGGTAAGATGGAGTAAAGTTACTATTTAACTATAGAAATATTTGAGTTAGCCTCTCAAATTTTGAGGGTTAAATACCTTACAATAAATTAAGGAGTAGAAATAGCAGAACAGGTATAACTAAACCTTTCTTTTAAAAAAATCACAATGAAATGTGATATAAGCTTGCAAAAAAGAGATAATAGTGTTTTATTTGCATACTCGGAGAATGCTAAAGACATAAAAGAACTGAGGGGATTTTTGTAAGATGAACATATAAGAAGAAATATAAGACTATAAGAAGAAAATCTACAAGGCAAAGCTTTTATTTTATCAGTGATAATCAGCAATACACACAGGGAGTTTATTACAACTTTATTGCAAATAGAGCAAAGGTAGGATATAAGCTGGCAATATATCTACAGGAAAATGGTTGAATACGTAATAAGCCCTATATTATGCAGTTTTTAAAAAATGAATTCTGTCAGTATATGTTGACCTAGAAATATACTCATGATATACATTTGTGTGGAAAAAAGCCAGTAGCGAAAAAAAAAGTTACACTATAATCTCATTTTTATTAAAAGAGAAACAGCTCCGTGTTAATAAAGATTGCTTTGAGATATATTCTCTATGTAAATCTAATAATACCATATCAATATCTAAAAATATCCAACAACAAAAAATTAAGCAAGAAGATAAACACACAACATAATGACTAAAAGAGGATTACATTTTCTAAAAACTCTGGAATACAAAAGAAATAAAGCAAAGCCATAAAAACCTGTCTCCTAAATAAGCAATGCCAGATGCCAAACAACAGAAAAACATATTTTACTTTTAGGAAGAATACGTTACAATTGTAATGTCATAGACTAGTTAAAAATACTGGTGGAAACAGAAAAGCAGTTAGAGTGCTCTTGGAGGTAAGGTGTAAAATCTAATCAAGGAAAATCTCATTTCTCTCTGTGCACACACTTCTGACACCAAATGTGAGAGGTTTCCACACCAGGTGATTCTCTGACCTCTCCAGACACCAACTGGTGTCCCTGCAATTTAATTCTGACACTACCCTAAATTAGTGCAGCCCCCACAGGTTAAGGGTGGGCACAATCCCTCAAGACTCTGCCCACTTCAGATGGCACTCAGAAGTCTGGGCCTCCGGTGCTTCTGACCACCTGGCTATAAATCAGGGGTCCCACTACCCTCTTCTCTGGTTTCATAATTTGCTAGACTGGCTCCTAGACCTTAGGAAGGCACTTGAGTCTACCAGTTTATTATAAAGGATACACCTTAGCAACAGCCCAATGGAAGAGATGCATGGGACAAGATATGGGGGTGGCCAGAGCCTCCAGCCCCTCTCGGGGTCCACTGCCCTCCAGCACCATGATATTCACCAACCCTGGAGGTCTCTGAACTCTTTTAGTTAGAGGGTTTTTTTTTTTTAAGAGTTTTTATGGAGGCTTCATAATTAACTCACTGCCCATTGGTGATTAATTCAACTTCCAGTCCCTACTCCCTCCCGAGGGGTCAGGGAGGCTGGAGGGAGGCTGAAAGTACCAATGCTTTAATCATCGGTTGACTCCCCTGGCAGCCTATCATTCTTGAAAGAACTCTGGACAAAGAAACAAATGTAATAATCAATGTTCCTATCACCCTACTACCTAAGAAGTTATGAGTTTTAGAAGCTCTGTGCCAGGAAGGGAAGTGGGAGACCAAATGGATATTTCTTACTATTGCTCACCAATGTTTGTTTGTGACAGCATTCCGCTATGTAATCTGGGCTGGCCTTGAACTTGAAATCCTCCCACCTCAGCCTCCTGAGTGCTGGATTACAGGCCTGTGCTACCAAATATGGTCAGGCCACCAATTTTTAGAAAATAAGAATGAAATGGACAACAGTACAAGAAAAAGTTGTTGACCTAGAAAACATAGAAACCTATTCACTCTAAGTCCACTGCCAACAGATTATAAATATGAAAATTCATAGACAGTGATGTAATAAATAAAGCCTGGCCAGCGAGTAAGTGGCTCTCATGCCACTTCTCTCCTCCCGCCTCCCCAGCCCACTCCCAAGGCAGTCATCAACAATCTACTCTGGCAGATTTCCTCCCAGCCAACAGAAGGTGTCAGAAGTTTCTCAGCCTAGCATTTTGGGCAGCCTCTAACGGATTGTAGTTGCAATGTACAATGAAAACAGCTTGCTTCTATAGGGACAATTACATCACTCAAAAATAATGGAGAAAGAAAAAAAAAGAGCTTGCCATACCTTCACTAGAAGAGGATACTAGATAAGGATTCAGCCTAAAAAAAAAAAAATAGCACACAGGTTATCTTCAAGGTTTACCATCCAAGAGGAAGACATTTAGATAGAACCTTGGTAAATCCCTGAACTTCAGAAATGAAGGACGACCTGAAGCAATGAGGGAGAAGAGGAAGGTAATATTTCAGGCCATCACAGATGACAAGTGCCCCTGACCATCCTGCCAAGGCACTGAAAAGGATGCATAAGGCCAGAGAACCTGCAGAAAGACTCCAGTGGGCAGCCTCATCATTAGAGAAGCACCCAAGGAGTGTTTGAATTCTGTAAGCTGCTGTTGCCTAAAATAAATGATGTAAGCTCCAGGGGAACCACTGATGTAAAGTTTCATTTTTTAAATAGAAACTCTTAAAAATGCAAAGACAAGACATTTTAAACACTTTAGAATGTCAGTTCTATCCATCCTGAGTGAGTTGTGGAGTGTGGATTGGGTAAACTTACAAGCAGGTAACATATTTCCTGTTAAGGAGTCCAGAGTTGTTTTGTGCTTTGTAATAGATTAAAATGCAAATATGGATTAATAAATGATTAGACTGTGTTTTGTGTCAAAATTGCTTCCATTGAACCATTACCCAATGCTTTGTTTCCTGGCTTTCTCCCCCTCAGATCTGGGGCTTCCACTCAGGCCTTTGCACGTGCTAGGCATGTCCTCTACAACTGAGCTACATCCCCAGCTCCAAGCCCAGTGGATTTTTTTTTTCTTGCTTAGAATTTTTATTTTATATTTTTTGAAGTTGCTCTTACAGGCTTATCGAGATATGGAAATGATCATCCCATGAAGAGCTATGGCCAGGTTCACACAACTCATGTCTTCCACCTTGGTGGCAGCCTCTGTGGGACGCCACTTTTAAGATACAGCCTGATTTTAGGGGTGCCAGGAGAGATGAAATGCTCCACTTCTGGGCTCCTGAAGTTTAAGGCATAATCAAAAAGCTCTCGCACTAGTGGTGCCACCAGTCCCACCATCAGATGCGCAGCGCCTTCCCTAGTAGGTGCTCAGCACAGTTCCACATCTGCCAATTCAACCAGCTGTGAATCAAAAATATTCAATAAAAGTTGCTTCTGTCTGAACCCATATAGCCTTTTTTGGTCATTATTCCCTAAACGATCCAGTGTAATAGCATATAACGTGGCACTGGCATTGTAATGATAAGTAATCTAGAGATGATTAAAGTGCACCGAAGGATGCGCATAGGTCATACGAAGATACTGCGGCATTCTATATAAGGGACTTGCGCATGCGTGGAGTTTGGTGTCTACCGCGAGATCGTGGGACCAATCTCGCACGACCACTGGGTATATTTGGTGAGTGCATACATGTGTGCATAAGCCAGTGAATGGGTGAACCGGTGCATGAATTAGGGCTGTCTGTGGCCCAGAATAACAGCTGCTCTTTTTCTTCCCTTTGTTGCCACAGAGAAACTTGAGAGCGAGAAGCTAAATGTCGCTGAGGTCACCCAGTCAGAGATTGCTCAGAAGCAAAAACTGCAGACTGTCCTGGAGAAAATCAATGAAACCCTGAAACTTCCTCCCAGGAGCATCAAGTGGAATGTGGACTGTGAGTTGTGCCAAGGAAAAGGGTGTCCTACGTGGTACCGTGGTCCCTCCCATGTGGCTTCTCCGAGAAGCCATCCCTCAGCTGGCAGGCCCTGGATGCAAACTCGTTTATCTTTCAGTGAGATGCACCCTTAGAAAAAGAATGTGTCCGGCATCCTCCTAGGGGAAACAAGCAGAGTGCCAAAATCTAGTGTTCCTTTGTGTAAAAGGCTTTCTATAGAAACTTCACATGAGATTTGGAGAGGAAGGAAACTCAAGCTCATCGAGCCGCATCTGAGACCCAGCACAGTCTTTTGAGAAAGCCGCTGTCTCCAATAGGTAGAGGCTTGGAGAAGCTGAGGTCCATATGTTCAGGTCCGGAAGGAGCAAAGGAAGGTGAGATCGCAGGCCCTGAAACAGGATTTTTAAATTCCACTTTCACAGCAAGCACAGCTCACGAACCTCAAAGTAAAAGCCATTAATTGTTCTGCTGCCCCGAGGGCTTCGTGTCTACCATAGACTGCATGCGTCCATATCAGAATCAACATTAAATCAGAGGGTCAGTGAGAGGGTCGGTGAATCTCATAGTAACAACGTATTTCCAGAAGGGAGTCCTTTGTAACAGATAAAAATGTGAATTTCTATAATACAAATGAAATGATTAGACTGTTTTGCTCTAAGTATTAGGGATTAGGTAGTCTGACTTATTGCATGTAGTTCATACAACTTAAAGTGGATACCCCCCCACAAAAAAAAACTTTTCAAACTTGGGAAAGCAAAAGGAATCCTCACCTCTAAACTCAGTGACCCAGTAGCTGCTAGTGGCAAAGTTTCCTCCAGGTTTCTCACATCTGACATTGAAACACAGCGGACAAGTGCCTCCTTCAGCATAATTACACCTCTGCTGGCACAGCACGGGAACAGGGCGTTCTCCCCAAGCCCAAGGAGACACCTGAGGGCGGGAGGCGGGGAGGCAGCAGCTCCGGGTCCTAGAGCTCTTGGAAAGGGCCTCTTGTTTCCTGTACCCTAGCAATGCTAACAGCACTTGGGGTGGTGGGGGTGGGAAGCTGATTACTAGTAGGAGTGATATGCGTGCATTTTGGAAATCCACGGTAGTCCTAAGTGTTAGAATTCCTCAAAGGAAGAGCCCGGCTTAGTGCCGATGATCCTACTTCCCATTCCCTTGCATGTGGGTCCTCTCTCTGTACATCACAAAAAAACAAAACAAACACCCATGGCCCCCAGTTCGGAAAGGCTGAAATGGAAAGATGGAACTTTTTGAAGCTACATCAAGAATACTGTCTTAACCCAGCTCTGAATGATATCTTTGGTTCATGATTGCTTTAATCTCATATAGGAAAGTGTATATCAGAAAAACAGTTACTCATATTAGCATTCGAATCTAGCTATTTTCATAGCCCTGGTCACTTTAATGCATATTTTCACTTAGTTAAGTGATGTACACCATTGTGTTTTGTCATTTTCTCTTACTACACCTGATCTTAGCCAAAAGGCCGAGAAGCAATTCATTTTCTCTATTTTGTGATAAATGTTTTCTGCCTTTGTCGTTCTAATTTTTGATAACTATTTCTATGCCGTGGGGTAGATATCCTATAGTTGACTTAAACCCTAGGTCAACAGCAATCATTTAAATAATATTCTCCGTCCCATTGCCAATATCAGATAGCACCAAGCTGAATGTGCTAGCTTGTATCTCTGCCTCTCTCGAATTATTCCCCGTAGATCTCTAGAACAGCGTTGAGTTGCCAGGTGTGCATGGTGGGGGGTAATTATCTCACCAGCCCTGTGATGCCTCAAGGCACGAGGAAAAGCTGGGCCTGGGTACAGGAAACAGAGGTTTGCCCTATAAGGAATGTGGCAGGTACAGCCCCAGGGGAGTTCCGTCCATCTCTCCTCTCTCAGTTATCATGCTAGCTGTGTATCTGAGGACACTGTGTCACTTTTCTGCTCAAGACAAAGGTGCCAGGGATGAACTGCTAAATTACCAACGTCCTTGATTTAGGACTTTAGGGATTTTTCTTTTTTTCTGTTTACAACTAATTTTTATTATTGAAAAATGCAGATACAAAAAATTCTAATTATTAACATGTATCATACGTTATGATGTTTACTGGCTGCCTTGAGCTCTTCTAAACACAACATATTTTTATCCTTGCAACCCTTTCTCAACTATCCAATGTAAGAATTTGTATTATCCCCATTTTACCAATGGGAAAATCCAGGCACAGGGAAGGTGAGACATCATAAATGTCAGTTTTATGAGGGCAGGGTTCTTGTGTTCCTTCACTGCTGTATCCCTGGAAACTGGAAGAGTGCCTGAACATATTAAGCACAGTAGTGTTTGCTAACGGAGTGTCGGCATCTAGGTCACACAGGTGATGAACAACAGGGCCAGGAATCAGACCCAGAAGCCCCACGGCAGAAGCCCCAAAGCTGCCCACCAGGACAGGACAGGGCCTGTGAGCACTGTGGAGGTCCTTCACTCCAAGTGTGCTGTGTGTGTAATAAAAAGTCACTTTTGCACAGCAGTCCTCCCTGTTCCAGGGTGATGGGTTCCAAGACGCCCAGTGAACACCTGGAACCATGGATAGTACCAGAGCTTACATATGCTGTTTTTTACCCATACATACCCAAATTTAATGCCTTGTCCATCTGGACTGAGAATTTATCACATACCCTGGCCACAACTCTTGCAGTTTAAGTGCAGCAGCAAAAGTAACACACACTTTTTCTCTCCATTTCATGGATAGAGAACATTGATTTTTATTATCAATCTTAGCAATCCCAACATATGATTTTTTTTTCTTATTGAGAACTTTCATCTTTTTGCTTAAAAGAATCACTTTGGGTTTTTTTGAGAGGGTTGTAGTTTAGGCAGAGACTCATTGTGTAGCTTGGCCTAGGCTTGAATGTGCAGAGATCCTCCTGCCTCAGCCTCCAGAGTTCTGAGATTGTAGGTGTGTACCACACCTAGCTAAAGGAAGTACTTTAGACTTTCTCTTTGGTGCATCTGACTTGCCAGCGTCACTATTGTTGCACTTTGGGGCCATTGTTAAGTGAAATAGCACCATGATTCCAAGACAGTTGATCTCATAACTGAGGTGGCTATCCAGTGATGAACAGATGAGTAGCATATATAGCATAGATACGCTGGGCAAAGGGATGATTCACATTTTGGGCAGGATAGAGGAGCCCAGCTCCAGAATTCATCACATTACCCAGAACAGCATGTAATGTGAAACTTACATATTGTTATTCCTGGAATTTTTCACTAATATCTTTGGACAACAGCTGATCTTGGGAAACTGAAATCACAGAAAGGAATACCGCAGATAAGAGGGAGATCACACACACACACAATTTTATAAAAATTGGATCAACTTACATATGATGTTTGGAAAATGTATGCCTTCATAGATCATTAAATATTTTATAGGTCACTTTTTTTTCTCAGTACTAGAGATTGAACCCCGGACCTTTGCTCCAGCCCTTTTTATTTTTTATTTTGAGACAAGGTCTTGCTAAGTCACTAAGTTGCCCAGGCTGTGCTCAAACTGTGATCCTCCTGTCTCATCATCCAAGAGTGCTGGGTTTATAGGTGTGCACCACCACGTCCATTTTATATGTCATACTAATATTAAATGACATTGCACATCTTATCATAATTTCTATAACTAATAAGAGATGTAGATTTTCCTTTTCTTTCCTTCACTAATATCAATCCAGCCTGATGAGTTCTCTCCACTGATAGCCATATTCTTTTAGGATGAATACCTGGGAGTTGTGTTTTAGGGCCAAACGGTATGTACATTTTTAAGGTCATAATACATATTGTCAAGTTGCTTCCAGAATATTGGACGAATGTACATTTCCACTGCAGAACATGTTTAGATGATGATTTCTAACTCAGCTGCTCTTTTTCCAGCTGTTTCCTGGCCCTGGAGTGACACTCTTGGCACAGCAGCTGCAGTGCCTGGTTTGTACGGTGAAGCTGGGCCCTTGCGCTTACACTGCCCTCACACCCTGCCCAGAACCAGGGGGATCTCCCCGGGCCCCCATGAGAGAAAGCAGTGATGAGGGTGCCAGACATGGGACATGTGTTACAGTTACTTTTAATTGAAAAGACGGCATAACCTTAAAGAAAATTTTGAAATAGGATAATGCACTTAAATGATCTTTCCATGCTAACATAACTGTTTTCATTTTTAAAATAGGCTTTCCCCGGCATTGGCCAGTTATACTTGTTTGTGTGTGTATATGTATATATACACCCACACATATATGTATATTATTTCTGCATGCCCATCTCTGTAAATGTACATTCTTACCTTATTTCTGTTCAGTTTCCCTTTAACATTACATTGTTAGTATCCATAGCAACATTTTCTTAAAGATTTTCAGTGCATGTAACTGTCCCATTCTGTGGAAATCCCATAACTTTGGAAAGTAGTGATTATTAAACCATGCTTGCCGGACATGGTAGCACATGTCTGTAACCCCAGCACTTTGGGACAGGAGGATTACAAGTTCAAGCCCAGCCTGGGCAACTTAAAAAAAAAAAATGCTGAGGCTGTAGCTCAGCACAAAAGCCTTGGGCTCAAACAAACATAAAATAAACCATGCTTGGTCCAACAGAGATTTGCCAGGAGAAAGTCAGGCATCACTGGGGAGAGAAGCAGCCATGGCAGGCTGCAGTTAGGACTCAAGGACCTTCCGTGTCACTTACTTTTTCATGAGTTCTTCCTATCAGCTTTTAAAACATTGCATTTCTCTGCTTGATTAAAAAGAAAGTTTGAAAAGCACTGATTTAAACAATCCTCTTGCTACCAAATTTAAGTGTTTTCTAGGGTTGTGTTTTTGATAATTAATACACTAGTTAACATCTTTGTCATGTGTGTGTGTGTGTAACAAATGTGCCTACAGCCTCCAGGACAGGCATGACAGCTCTGACCACAAGAACAAACAGTTTTTGCCTCTGTCCCTCAGTGACCCTGCCATGTCAGTGGGTCCGTCCTAGCCAGGAGCCTTTTGGGATGTTTTGTATTGTGCAGTACTGGGGGTTGGATCCAAGGCCTAGCATGTGCGAGGCACATAATCTAGCAGGGAGCTACATCCCCATCAAGATCCTCTTTTTGAGACTACAACTATAGGTAACATTTGGTTGACGGTCCCCTTAGCTGAAACTTCTATTAGGCTGGGCATCTAGAGCCGTCATACACTGTTTGGTAATGTTGCGCTCTTGGTCAACAGAAAGCCTTCTTTGAACAAACAGTGGTGATAACAAACTCTAATGAATACCAAAGGAATATCTGAATCGTTTCCTTTCTTACTGGTTTCTTAAACATTCGGCTAAGGCAGAGTGACCCATGGATCCCAGGGAAGGCAAAATGATACCTAATAACAACAGGCCCTGTGAGTGCTGAGTACTCAGAATGGGTTCTGTTTCTTCCCTTCATTGTCCCCTGTCATGAGGAGTTGTGATGCTGGTAGGACCAGGAAGGCAGGTCCTCCCATTTGTGAAAAAGGAAGGAGGGAAAAGCTGGCATGTCTTAATATATTTTTATATATTTTTAAATATTTTTCATATCAAAATATATAAAAATATAAAATTATGAATGAGGGCCGGGGATTTAGCTCAGTGGTTCCACCACCTGCCTCAAAAGCACAAGAACCCAAGTTCAATCCCTGGTACCAAATAAATTAATTAATTTAATGAATGAATGAATGAATGAATGAGATCAGCCATTCCTTAGCACCTGCTCTGTTCCAGGAACTCTGCCTTCATTACCTTTGGAAATCCTTACGACCTGTGTGTCCTTATAGGCACTACTGTCCTCTCAAGTGGCTCACCCTACCCAAGGCCAAGTAGCCAGTGAATAAATGGAAGAGTTCTAAAGCCAGGTAGCTGATAAATAAATGGCAGAGTTATGAAGTCAGAATTCAAGCTCCAGTCTCCCTGATGCCATATGCACCTCATTAAGTCAGTGTTTTTCTCATCTACTGAGAAAAATCACAACCCAGTAGGGCCCAGCCTTCTCTAGCAGAAATGGCGTAACATTCAGCACAGGGCTCAGCAGCTGTGGAGGCCAGTGGGTCTTGAACCTCCCCTCCCAAGGCACTCAAGGGACCTTACAGCCCCACATGAAGGAAAGGGCTCAGTGTCCCTGAGTTACTGTCCAATATTAAGGGTCTGCTTTGTGACCGGTCTTGGGGAGGGGAAGTGGTGATAATCCAGAGTCTCCAGTCAGGTGGGAGGGAGTGAGTGCAGAGCAGGCTTGCTCATGGTTATCCGAATGGTGTGTCCAGGGCCATGGGGCTGGGGCAAGCTGGTCTGAGCTCAGAACTCAGCAAACATCAGGGTCCTGATGGGAACTTGGGATTAAAGTAGAAGAGCCCCCTGGAAATCTAGCAATAATAGGACCCAAGAAGCACTCTGTGAGACGGAGCTAAGAAGTGGAGGGTCCCAAGGGGAGGTGCATGATGACCTTTAGGGTAGAATAAAGGGGCACTGGATATGGCACCGCTCCCTTTTGAATATCTCCTTATATTGCCTAGGACCTAGCAGAAGAGGCTCTAATTCTAAAATCCTCTTCCCTGTCAGCTGTTCACGCCAAAAGCCTGGTGGCCATCTTGCATCTGCTGGTAGCTCTGTCTCAGTATTTCCGGGCACCAATCCGACTCCCAGACCATGTTTCCATCCAAGTGGTTGTGGTCCAGGTAAGACGGATACCACTCCTAACACCTGCACCTTCAAGGCTCTGTGACAGTTAAGACACTTAGGTTAGACTCTTAGAAGAATAGCTGAGTGCGCTTGGATGTGCTGTGTATTGAGAGGCGTGTGAAAGAGCTTTCTGATGAATGTTGGCTTATCCCTGACAAGTGTGCAATGGATGACAAAGTGCTTGTGCACCATATAATTTTGTGTGAGGTGTGTCTGTGGGGACTGTGTGTTTTTGTTGGAAGATTGTGCAGTGTATAGCAGAGGATGTGTTGTATATTTGTAAGATGTGGGTAGGGGGGTCAGGAGGAAAGTTGTCTGTGTGCGTATATGTATGTGTGTTCACATGCATTTGTATACAAGAGTGTGCAGGGCACCCTGTAAGCCATGGAGAATCGTAATTTGGGGGATTAACAAATGATGCACTGATATCAGGGGAGGTAGCTACATGCACGGGTAAGGGAACATGCATGTAAGTGTGTAAGTGTGTGGGTGCGCGTGTGTGTATGCATATGAGAGAGACAGAGAGAGAGACCCCAACTGACCATGCCTGGACTGGAGGCGCTGCTGCTGCTGCTGCTTGCCTCCCAGCAAATCACAATTGGGACCTCAAGTCATCGTTTCCAGATTGTTGGATGGAATTTCCATTCACACAGGGCTGTGTCATTTCCACAGCGAGGGTGTGCTCTCTCCCCGTGACTATCTCACTCTGCTCCTAACCCCATTAAATACTCAAATGCAATTTTATTTTCCAGCTTTATGCCCATTGAGCAAAAGGTCACCGTTTTGTTTGCTTGTTTCTGTGCTTTTCCAAATAAACATGCAGCAAGGGAGAGCTCTCCACACCAGCAGCTCGCCGGCTCTCCAGGGCTGTCCAGGGTTCTGGATAGAGGAGATGGCAGCTCTGCCTCCCCTGGGTTAGGAAAAGCCCTGAGGTGAGGGCTCATAAACTTTGCCTGACCTGGCCAGGCCACTTTCCAGGCCAAAAGGACTTAGAGCTGAGCTTTCAGGGATCAGATGGTAACAGGGTGGGAGGACACAGCGTGCTTCCAACTGATCTATCCGTCATGCCCTAGTGAAAAGTATTCCACACCGTCTGGGTGCTTAACTCTACTAAGCACTGAGGGGATATAATAGGAAGATGACACCTTGGCCCAGCCTGCCAGGAGACAAGATTACAAATAGGAAGCGGAGAGGGCAGTGGGCAGACAACTCGAAGTTACAGAGCTCAGAGTCCAAGTGCAGTACCTGGCAGGTTCAAACGGTCCACACTTACTGACCCCTTCACCAGTCAGGCATGGTGCTCTGCTTTATAGCTGCTGTGGAGATGCACCCAACCCAGTATCCTGAGATAGGCATCTTCCTAAAGAACCCAGACTGTCCCCGTTGTGTTAGTCTCACCAGCCAATCATATGTGAATCTGCGAAGTTATGTTTTTTAAAACTATCATGGAGAAGGGAAGGATGAATAGGTACAGCACTAGGGTGTTTAGGACAGTGAAACTATGGTGTACAACACTGCAGTGGCAGATAGCTTTGTCCAAAGCCATAGAATGTGCACCACCAAGAGTGAACCCTAACATAAACCACAGACTTCAAGTGACAGTGACTCCTTGGTGCAGGCTCCTCAGTGAAAGGTGTGCTGCTTCCTTCCAGTTTACTGGGATCCAGGAACTGCTATTGAAAAGTAGTCTAGGGCCGGGGATTTAGCTCAGTGGTTCTGGCGCCTGCCTCACAAGCACAAGGTCCTGAGTTCGATCCCCAGAACCAAAAAAAAGTAAAATAAAATAAAAAGTAGTCTATTAAAAAATAAATGATTCCTAGAGCAATTCATGAAAGAATACTTTTAGTTATCACTAACATTGAAAAATGTGTTGTTTGCATGAGTAAACACACTGTCATTATATTCATGCTTAGCCCTCCCATTGCCCATGGAGAAAAATGCTTTTATGCAAACTAATCTTTTGTAGCTTCTCTTTGGTGACAGTCCATACTGATTCTTTGTCCATTAATTTATTGAGTATCTCAGTATTTTTTGTTACCAGCTCGAATAAACAGCTACCTAATAGACATACTAAAATATGCCTGTTGGAATTCTAGAGTCAAAAATTTAAAAATTGGATTGAAGATTTGAGCAGGGAGATGGGGGGGCTATTTTGAAACAATGGTCACTGCAGGCCCATGTCCCATGCCTTATTTGGAGCGTAATTACAGGCCATCACAAGGCTGCTGTCAGCTTAATTTCTCCTGTAGACAGTTTTGTTAGCATAAGGACATGGGGAACAAGGACACTACATAAAGTAGCATCAGTGTGTGTTAGGCTTTATGGGGTGTTTTGCTTTATCAGATAGACAGGCCCAGAAGCAGGACTCAAAACTGGCAGGAAGTCACGAGGGAACTGGAGAAAGAACTCCCTAGGGCACAAACAATGATGCAGGCGAGTCAGGATGCTTTGTGCAGGGCTGTTGGAACCATTTCTTTTCCATTCCACGTGGGAGCATTTAATTCCGCATGAACTTGAAAATGGGGCTTTTTGTGTGTGAGTGGCCTCGTGAGACAAGGATTCTGCTAACCCCATGTATAAAATTGCCATGTTTTAAAACCAAATGTGGACAGAGTCCTGATTTGTCCTCACCTGGTCCCCTTTAAATATCCTTCTTCCTTTGTTTCCTTTTTTTGCCTTGATAATGCATTGCTCCTCTAGTCCAAGTAGTCTTGGCTTCACCCAGCTGTGCCTTTCCTTCTGTACGTGTTTTGCAAGGATGCTCATGTCTCTGGCTATTGGGCATGTGAGGGGCCACTGCTGGACATTTTGGTGGGAGGCTTCCAAAGGCTTCTCAAGGCTTCCATGTTTCAGCCGAGACACACTCAGAACCCTGCTTCACACTCCTCTCAGGCTTGGGAGGATGAGATCACCCTCTCATCCTCACACTTGACAGTGTGCCAAGCCCAGACTGTCCTGTAAGTGTCCGGCGCTGGCTATGTGGGCACCTGGTAGAGCGGGTCTCCTATCTGGCACCCATCACAAACGCTTCCAGACCCCGATGCTCCTTTGTTGAGCCCACACCCTGAGGGCACAGCTCTCCCAACTGGTCAGGGCTACCCATGGACTAATGACAGCCACTTTCCCTCCAGATGGCCTCACACACACACTCGTGCCATCCTGACCCTGCCTTTTGGCTGGGGTCACTTCCTGGCTTTCCTCAAAGTTCCCACTCCAGCACCTCATCTTCTTGGAAGGTCTCCCTGCCCTCCCCCAAAGCGCACACATGCCCTGTGTCCAGCACATCCTCTCTGCAGACAGGGACCACATCATGTATTTCCCACAACACTTTGGAGAGTGAGAAAAAGACAGAGGTCCCATTAACCATTCAGCTGGGACATGGGCCACAAACCAGGAGTGTTAGGGGAACCATTCTCACAGGCTAACTTCATCTCTGCCATTTTACTCTGAGTTGCTCAAGGCCTGGAGCCATGTCATATGTGCCCCAGTATTTGTTCCAACTCAGCACAGGGCCTTGTAATTAGAAGGTGCTGATCAGTTCGATACAGAAGAAAGGATGCATACATGGCAGAGGGGTGGACAGGTGATGGAAGGACAGCTAGCTGGGCAGATTCCTAAGTGAGGATCATACTACTTACTTAAAAGCTCCCATATTTATGGGAAGAAAGAAGAAAAAAATCCCTCCGCCTCTGTCTGAATTCTCCAAGTTGACCACCTCCGCTCCTCCCTCCAGCCCCCCAGTTAAAAGTGTTGCTCAGCCCCCTCTGCAGCCCCAGCTGGAGGGCAGACACACCCTGGCCTTCATTTCCATTTGGTTGCCTGTGGATGACTCCAGGAGGCAGGCAGTTGCTTCCAGCACAGTGTCTTCCAATAAAGCAAGGAAAGAGTCACCATCCAAGAAACAGCCTACTTACTTGGACTAAACACTAATTGCCCTTAGGTCCTAATGGTACAGTCCAGGCCCCCAAAATCAGGGTTTCTCTTGGTTTCTAGCATTACCTCATCACTGGGTACATTTCTTAACTACACACCAGTAACTTTCTCAATGTTGGGAATGCTAATCAGTTTTTGGGTATTTTTCTAAAACATTTTTTTTTCTCTTTTTCTCTTTTCTCCCCTCTCCCCACCCCCATTCCAGAAACGAGAAGGAATCCTCCAGTCTCGGCAAATCCAAGAGGAAATAACTGGTAACACAGAGTATGTCAACACTATTGTTGCCAGAGAGTCTGTAATGGAACACAGATGTTTCTCTGAAATTCATCCATTTGCTGATATTTAGTTTTCATTTATTGGGATTGCAGGAGGGATTAGACTGCAGCCAATGATTATAGTTTAGCCTTTTCCATGCATTCAAAACATGCCTCTCAATGCTTAAGGTACAAACTTGGGTGGGGAAGTGGGGAGAGGGGAATTAACCATGATTGAAAAATTCTAATTTTGTGGCACTCCAGGAAAAAGCATGCCCCCCAAAAGCCAACCAGCATGAAATTGTCATGCCATAAACATGGCATGGAATTTAAATTGTTAACCTTCAAAGGGACGTTTTTCTTCCTTTTCTGAATCTGATTTATTTGGTCACCTGCCATGAACCAGAAAGCCCCTTTCTACCTTAGTGTTGTCTTTTGGTTTTTGTTGGTTTGAGGTGCTTTCCCATTTACCTTTAGAAATTAGTGTCTCAGGACATGTAAAAGGCTTTCTGAGGAGAATGGGAGTTTTGTTTTTAAGCAGGAGGAACAGGTTGATGTGTGGGTTTGAGACTGTTGAGCAGGCCCTGAGCCCGGGCCCTACACACAAAGCCAGGCAAGTTACTTTCCAGCCTTCCCTGTCCACCCAGCTTTCTTCTCTGCCCCTCTTGGATAAAACCCAACACAGTGGAAAGAACAGAGACCTACCTGTGAGCCAGCCTGACTTGAGTCCCTGAAGCTGTCAGCCTTAGTGTCTTTATCAGTGAGTGGAGGGCATTTCCCAACCCAGAGAAAGGGTGAGGATTCATTGTGGTGTCAGCTCTGTTCTGCCCCTGACTTCTATGGCTGTCCTTCCTGCTTTTCCCATCACAGCTGACCCACTCCTTTGAGCCTTGCCCATCATTAGAAAGCTCTCTCCCACCTCCAGCCATGGCTGAAAGGAGTCTAGGACTCTGTCCATCTAGACCATGGATGTGTCTTTAAAAGCTTCTGTGAGTTGAGCATGTCAGGGCAAGCACAGAGGGCAGAGTTGTGAGCAGTCCTTCCCAAGATGCCCAGTTTATGGCTTATAGAGATCCCATCAAACAGCCCGAACAAAAAAGGCCACTCTTGTGGCTGGAGGATCACATGATCCACTGAGCATGCCCAGTCTTGGCCTTGGCTGGGAGCAAAGCTGCCCTGAGTCAGGCCTGCTGGGCCAGAACAGAATTCCTCAGCGTCTTATCCCATCCCTCCCCAACCCATGCCATGCTTGTTGGTGTCTAGTCTTTAATCTTCCAGACAAGAGGAAGACAGACCAGAGAGGGGCGTGGCTGGGGGAATGTCCTGAATCAAGGGGTGTAAGGTTTCTTGGCCACATATTATTCTCTCTGTGCTCCTCCTCTCTGCCACCTCTGCCACAAGCACACAAACATGGGTGACGACACAGCGTGAGTTTCAAGTGCTTTTGTATCTACTGATATTCATGATAAACACATGAAGCCCCAGAGCCCAGGACTGAATAAGGATATGGTATCCTTGGTTTATCTTACGGTTAACTCCAAGGTCATGACTCTTTCCAGGGCTCTGTGTGCTAGTTATCATTTAGTGGGCGATCGCTGTACAGGTCGCTAAACCAATATTGTAAGAATCATGAGAACCAAAAAGGTATTGAAAAAAACAAAACATGTTTTGACTATTTATTGCTAAAACCTTTCTAGATCTTCAGTGCTCACAACATCCCACTGAGGTATCCACCATTATCATTCTCATTTTAGAGATAAGAGACCTGGAGCCAGGAAGTTTCAGTAGCTTATCCCATATCACACAGAGAGTCAAAAGTAACAACAACAATAATAATATAATAAAAGATTAAAACTAAGTAAGTGACCTGTTTCTATGCTTATGCTCATACGATTTTACCCCTTCTCTGGTACAAGTGTGGTTGTACCATTCCTGTCCCCTTGGAAGAAACCTATCCGGCATCAATGGCAGGTGCAGCTTGGGGACATCACAGGACAGGCAGAAACAAAGCTGACCTCCCCAGGTAGTTGCTAATAGCAACCTGGGCAGGGATGTTCCACGGGGGGGCGGGGGTGTGTGCTTGATCTCTGCTCCAAAGAACCCTAATTCTCTGGTTTGACTCCTCAACCCATGTCCAATATTCTTTAACTGCAAGCAATAACATGTTTTTATTTAATACAAAAAAAATAATCCTTTAAGCATCACTGTGCCAGACTTTGTGTTGAGCCAGTAGATCTGGGTGGCAGAGGGAGAAAGAGGTGGCAATATAGTGAAGTCTCAATAACTAGAGATGGCGCAGGCTAAAATGCCAACCAAAGGAGGCCTTTCAAGCTCCTCGACCAAGAATGGCCTGGCGGCAGGCAGGGAGGAGTGGGATCCTAGGCAGGATGGAAGGTCCTCTCGCAGGGTAGTCACACTGTTTGCTTTCTCTTTTGTTCCAGGGCTCTTTCCGGAAGGCATGGTGAGTTGTGTGAGTTTGTCACCTGGCACTGCACTGTGGCGGGTGCTGGTTAATTCTGCAGCAGCTGGAAGAGCAGGCACTCAGCGTGCTGCCTGGATGTGTGATTGCCCCGGCCTGGTGGCCCGGCTTCCTGGGTCATGGGGGATAGCTGACTGGGGGGAAGCAGCGGGCTTACTACATCTGCACTGTCCTGGTGCCTGCAGGGCTGTTTTGTGCTGTGCATGTTGTGGAAATACAGAAAGAAGGCCCTGAACACTCTTAGGGACTGTCCCCTCTCTCTGCTCCCCCTTCCCTCATCACAGCTCCTACCTCTCCCTGTTCCGAGGACTTTGGACTTTCTAGGGTCCTTGAATGTCAGAGATCATCGTTCTAGCAGTCCCCACTTTGCCCATCAGCATGTTTGCCTCTCCTGTTTTTAAAAATTAGAGGGTGAGGTGATTGGACATTCAGAGATAACTGTACCTCAAAAAAAGCTTCAGAGACACGTTAGAACCATGACTCCATCACGATGCCCACAGTGAAGAGAAAGGACTGATTCCAGGGGAAGCCGTCTGGCAGGCACCCATGCCCTCAGGCTGGAGACTTCCCTGTCCCTGCCTTGGGTCCCTCCACTTTTCACCCCTTGATCCTGGAGAACGTGGCAGTTGTGCATGTGCTAAGCATCCCTGCAGGCAGCACGACCTGGTGTTCTAGTAGCCTGCTGTCCACTACAGGTCATATTCTGAAATATTTTAATTATGCTAAAAACAGTGTGCATTGGTAGAGCATGTCAGAGTTTATAGAGCCGGGGCACAGTCTCATGATAAACCCAGGGGAAATGCACCCTTCAGATGCTGCTTTCCAGGAGAGGAAACAGAGGCACAAAGAGCTGACGTGACCTAGATCTCTGAGGAGAAGCCGCTCATGTTCTGTCCTGGAGCTCACTGAGTCCCTGTCCTCATATCTGTGCCTTCTGCCCGGATATTTGCCTTGGCTCTGTTTTAGAAAATTAGAAGGTGACATGATTGGTTTCTCAAGTAACGTCTGCCTCCAGAAAGCATCCGGAACGCTTTCTAACAATGACTGCAGCACAAACATCAGTAGAATACCACAGTGAGGACAAAGGACCTATCCCGGGTCATACTCCTGACAGATGCCCCCTGCTCAGCCCAAGGAAGGGCTGACGTAGACACAGAGAAAAATGTCACGAGGGGAAGAACCCCAGCTCAGGTCAGCCCAATCCCAGAGTCCAGGGTCCCCGGCACTGCCTGTTCCCCAAAGCCTTCCCCAGGGTGGCTGCGCATGTGGCTTTAAAGGTTCATGGCCTGGAAGCCGCCAGGCGTTCCCACCAGGAGCCCACCCTGTGCACTCCCTGTTATGATGTCTCCCTCTTTCAGAACGCGATGCCTTCGACACCTTGTTTGACCACGCACCAGACAAACTCAACGTAGTAAAAAAGGTGGGCACGAGGCGCCTGGAGGGAGTGAGGGTGGTGGGCTGTGGCGCGACGTCAGAACAACCCATCCCTGCCAACACTGGGGTCCCCAGTGTCTGTCCCCCGCCCCATCTGCTCTCAGCAGCACCTCCCACTACTAACGCCTGCCTTGTCGTCCACCGCGCCAACCCCAGCCTTCCCGGCTCCCACACAGCATTGCCCTGTCCCCGGGCATAGGTAGCTGCGCCACCAAAGAAGGGAGTTCGAGGAGGGACCCAGCTGGGCGTTTGTCTCTGTCCCCCGACCCTGGGCTCCGACGTCCCACCTGTCATCCTGCCTCAGGAACCTCCCCGTCCCTCATCCCTGCAACCATGTGGGAGGCCACAGCGGAAGCCCACGCCTGCCCATGAGCCCCAGGTTTTTGCGTGGGCTGCTGGTCCTCACAGGCGTCCAGGCCGGCCCCTTGTGTGGCACTGGCCGCTGTCATCCCCTCAGCACCCTGTGCTTCTTTCAGACGCTCATCACATTTGTGAACAAGCACCTGAATAAACTGAACCTGGAGGTCACGGAACTGGAAACCCAGGTGGGTGGCAGCACACAGACGCTGAGGGCCAGCGGGGTGTCCACAGGCCCAGCCTTCCATCTGAGGGGCAGGCGGGGGCTCTCCCGGAAGCTTACGGGGTGAAATGGCTGATCTCCGTGACTTTTCCCCAGCTGTTTGTATTGAAAAGTGACAGGAATGAGCACCCGCATATTCTTCCCCTGGATACACGACTGTTAGCACTTGACCACACACTCCCTTCATCCCTAAATATTATACCTACATCTCTTAAGAATAAATGTTCTCTTAATCACAGCATGATTATCAAATGTGGGCAGTTGACACTGATGCAATCTATTCATCTATTTAGATGGAATTGTATGAATTTTCAATATGTAGCCTCCTTGATCTTCCGATTCTCCTGCCTCAGCCTCCTGGGAAGCTGAGAATACAGGAATATGCTACCACGCCTGGCTGTGTGGCTGTTTTTGACCAACTAAAATGGCAACATCACATGGTTGGAGAGACACTCTGTCTTCCTCTTCTGCCAGCTCTCCCAGTCTCCTCCTGCCCTGCCTTTAGCCATCATGTTCCTCAGCCTCAGAACAGCTCAGCCTTTCTTGCAGGATACTGGCATTTTTGAAGAGTGCTGGTCAGTTAATTTATAGAACGTCCCTCAGTTTCTGTCTTCATGTTGGTATTTCAGTAACAGCCCTCCCTGGGTGACACTGCGTTCCTCTCAGTGCCTCTCATGTGATGGCATTTGTCCCCACTAGCCCCATTACTGGAGGTGGCCTGAAGGTGGTACCACTCCATTTCCTGACTAGAACCTACTATAGAATCCCTTTTCTATCACATCTATATATGTATGCGTGTGCGTGCACACACACAGTGCTGGGATTGAACCCAGGGCCCTTGCACATGCTCGGCAAGTGCTCACACTGAGCCACTTCCCCAGCCTTCATAACTACCCTGTGACACAGTGCACCCCGACACCCACGTGCTCTCATTCCGGGTCAATTTCTGTTTTCTTCCAAGTACCTGCGTGCCTCTCATCTTTTGTAAAAGGCGTCCCAGGGTCTCTCCCTGAGTTGTCCCTATCCGTCCCTGGACTCTGTGGAATAAGCTTCATATGCTCTTTCGGGAAATAAGGAACATTCTGGAAAGGGCTTTCCTGGGCAGGGCTCCAGTTGGCTCTGAAGTTTCCCCTCAGTGTTCAGCAGGAATCTCTGCCCTGCTCTCCAGTGTCTGTGGCTGTCGCCTGCTGTTCCCACCCCATGGGCAGAACTAGCCATCACAGGTGGGCAGCAGTCTGGCTGGCCATGGGGCTCTGAGTCACCTGCCCCTGGCCCAAGGTCCCTTCTGGGTTCACAGAGGGGATTCTGTTGTTCTCAGCCTATTCTGGCCCCCAGCGGGAGGGCGTAGGTGTCCACACAGTCTGAGATCTGCTCTCCTGGGTCCACCCTGGGTGGTGTGAGATGAGTCATGCCCCCGGTAGAGCCCTACCCACCCGAGGGCCCTGTGGAGGCTGGGAGGCGCTGCCCCGGGTCATGGTCTTAGCCACAGCTCCAGCCAGTCACCCCACAAATGCTCAGCAAGCACACACTGGGCCCAGCCCCCGGGCCCACACTTCTGTCTATGTCTTTAATCTTCCCAAGCTGAGGCCAAGACATTTGGCCTCTTGGAACCGAGCAACTATTGTTCATGGACACATACAATGGTGGCCCAGCCTCTCCTGAAAGGTTCTAGAACTTCAGGTGGTCACTGACCTCTGGCCACTCAGGCCACCTCCATACCTAGAGCACTATTTCCCAAGCGCACTCGCCCCGCCCCGCTTGAACTCACTACTGGCTCTGTCCAGGCAGGGATGGGGCTCTGAGCCTCCTGCTGCAACTCTCCTGTTGCCATAGTTCTGGCCTGCAGGAGCTCAGAGGTCACGTCCTGATTGCTCTGTCATCTTCCCAGGTGGTCCTAGCAAGAGTTAATATTTATTAAGCGCTGCCTCCGTGCCAAGCTGTTCACAGGCCCTTTGCTTCTATTAACTGCTCTAGTCCCCATGATAACCCTGTGTGGTAGATACCCTCCCATGTCATCCCTGTTCTACAGATGAGAAAAAGGAGGTGCACAGGAGTCACAAGTCCCTGAGCTAGTGCTTAATGAGGCTGGAACTGGGACCCCAGAGGCCTAGCTCCCAAGCCCCCCACGTTCACCTCCCAAGCAGTGAGGAAGTGAGACGAAGGAAAGGATAGCTTACAGGACACCAGCGTTCTGTCTTCAGAAACTAGAAGTCGCCCCGGGAGCCTCGAGCCACTTGCCTTGCACATCACAGTTCCCTCCTGTGCCACACCCCAGCAGGCTTCTTTTCATCTCACTCAGAGCAGCGGCCACATTGCTTCCACTGCAGTCCCCCCACCGCCCTGACGGTGAGCTCCTTGCAGGCAGAAGCCACCCTACCTGATCCTAGTCCCCGTGCCTGCATCGTGAGCCTGTACCCCGAGATATCAGCTGAGCCTAGAGTCATGGGCTGTGGCCCCTGTTAGCAGATGCCCTGCCTCAGAGCAAACTCAGGGGTATCCTTTGGGGGGTGACATGGTGGCTGATGAGCCCCAGATGGAGCCTGGCTGGGAGACTGAGGGCCGGTCCGCCCCTGCCCATCCCCTGTAGTTTGCAGATGGCGTGTACCTGGTGCTGCTCATGGGGCTCCTGGAGGGCTACTTCGTGCCGCTGCACAGCTTCTTCCTGACTCCAGACAGCTTTGAGCAGAAGGTAAGGGTGGGTGGAGGGCATCAAGGGGAGCCCAGCCCACATCGTGGCTGGTGGGTGCCGCCTCTCTGCCAGTCAGTGTCAGAGGCCACACACGTTCCCATGAGCAACCCTTCTCACCCCCTCCCCATAGCTGTGCTGGTCCCCTGGCCCTGTGCTCCTGCCCAGTACCCAGCCAGCCTCATCTCTCCCTCCAGAGGTGACAGGGACAGCAGCCACAAGGCCAGTCAGATACCGGGCCCATGCCTAACCTCGTTCTGACAGCCTCCCATCAGCCACCCTGTCCTGCTCATACGACAGGAGGCAGTTGGTCCAAAGCAGAGATCTGCCTCTTTAACATGTCTGACACACCTCAGTGTGCTCTGTCATCCCCAAGTTTGAAGTCCCGGCCATTAGCACAGGACAGGAAGAATGCTCCTCCAATGATAGCAGGTTGGGATCTGCAAGCCCGCCCCAGCATAGCCTGTCCATTTCCATATCCATGTTCTCCTTCAGCTTAGCTCAGCCTCTCCCCTGGGGGTCTAGGCTGAGTATGCAGTGAATGATGCATGCATTGCATCTCTCTTGCCAGGTCTTGAACATCACCTTTGCCTTTGAGCTCATGCAAGATGGAGGGTTGGAAAAGCCAAAACCACGGCCAGAAGGTACTTTGCTCTCTCCTGGGCTGAGGACAACAGGACAAGGTGTTCTTCCTGCATGAATGCGTCCAGGCAGCAGGAAGAGCCTCCAATATTGTCGCGGAGGGGAAAGTTTCTTTCCTGGAGCCTTCTCTGTTGGGCACCAGGGAAGGTAGGACGGGGTGCAGCCACTCAGTCCTGGAGACACTCTGTGAGCTGCTAGTCATGCAGCTGTGGCAAGAAAGAATCTGAAATCCCAAACATGGGGTCAGGGCCCGAGTAGAGGCACTGCTGTAGGAACTGTCTGCCCGGGACACTGACCTGCCAGCTGCAGCTGGGTGCAGCCAGACAGGGTCAGGGGACTCTTGGACAGCCCTGCACCCGGCCTCCAAGACAGCCAGCAGCTTTACCAGCTCCAAATCTGCCCAACAAAGAAGCTTGATATTCAGGGTTTGGGCTGCAAATACAGTAGTACCTCACTATCCATGGAGGATCAGTTCTAAGAACCCTCAAGGATACCAAAATCCACAGATGTCCAAGTTGCTAGCATAAAACAGCAGAGTGTTTGCATGTAACCTGTGCATATCCTCCTGTATACTCTAAATCACCTCTAGACGACCTGTAATACAATGTAAATGCTGTGTGGATGGCTGTTACACTGTATCATTTAGGGTACAATGACAAGAAAAAAGCCCATACCCTGTTCATGCAGGTGAAATTTTGTTTTTGAATATTTATGAGCTAAAGTTGGTTGAACCTGTGGATGTGGGAGCCACAAACACACAGGGCTGACTGTACAAGCCTGGAGTCAGGCGGTAGGGATGCTCACTTGCTCACCCTGGCTGTTTGTGTGCCTTTGGGAGTAGTCTTTTTTTCTTTTTTTTGGTACTGGGGATTGAACTTGGGTCCTTGCGCTTGCGAGGCAGGCGGTGGAACCACTGAGCTAAATCCCCGGCCCTGGGAGTAGTCTTAATACAGATGTTTATTTTCTACCACTCACTGACTGCAATATTCCCTTTCAGCAGTGCCAGTGAGTCAGGATTGTGTCACAGATGTGTGTTTATGTCAAATTAGCTGAGCACTGAGCACTGAACACTGGCTATGGGTCCTTGAACTTGCACTTTCCTGGTCATTTAAAGGCAAGGGGACAAGTAGGGGTACACTGTGACACCCCACTGCTCCCGCTGCTCCAAGCTGCTTCACCCTGACCTCCACACAGAGGAGCCGGGCTCTGGTCCAGCAGGCCTGGGACCTTCCATATCATGAAACACCAAGAGGGGTGACCCCATCCCTGAGCTTGGGGCTCTTGCAGCCAACCAGGGAGGAGAAAGGAGGTGCCAGTCACCCAAACAGAATGACTGTTGTAATAGCAGCCACAGAAGAGGTATAGCCACGAGGCTATGGGGATGGAGAAGGTGAGACCACTTCTGCCTAAGCACAGTGAGAAATGGCTCGATGACGATGGTCCCAGTCGGGCTAACCGCATGAGGATCAGGAAGAAGTCCAGTGTGTGGGCATTGGGGTGGAGGAGTGAGCCTGAATCCCCTGGAGACTCTGTCAGCTCCAGCCAAGAAAGGTCAACCCTTACTTTCATTTGGTCCCTCTATGCCTGAAGTCCTGGCCACTTATAGGGAGGACCTCTAGCATGGCTTATGCCTCCCTGGCAAGGCCACTGTGGTCATCCGAATGCTGTTACAAATGGACTCGTGGCTTCCTGTGGGCACTCTGCTTCAGCAAGAGAGATGCAGAGGGTGAGTTGTGTTTGTCCCTTCAGGTGCCATTTTCTTCAGCTGTTTCATGCCAAACTTTCGGATTGCAAACTGGTAGTTTGATGTTCAGGCACTGGTTTCCCTTCAGACAGGTGATTCCCCAATGTCACTCAATCTGCGAGACTCTTTCAGCATCTAGATGACATTTCTTGTGCAATGATTGAACTGCTTCCTATGAAACTTCCCGAGCAAAGTGAATGGAAAAACACATCTGCTTTGTTTGTTGTTACACTGGGCATGGTGCCCATGCTGAAAATTTCCAGTGCATAAAGGAGAATTGAAATGATGTGTCTTGAAATCGGACATGGTGTAAAGTGAATCCCAGAATCCCTCTGCATCTGGGCTTCCACCTAGACAGTGAAAGTCTCCAGTAAATGGTGAGACTTTGCACAAGGGGCCAATGTGGCTGATCTACGAAAGGTGTCCCCAAATTAAATTGGCTGTGGAGGCATTTTTATGGCAAAATGCTTTTATGATCAGGCAAATGCATTCTTTGCTGTGGTTTTTGACCTTCAAAGCTCTCTTAGACCTTGAAATCCCCTAGAAACTTGGAATTTATAGCTCAGGTCTCTTCTGCTGCCCAGGCTTCATGACCTTTTCATTCTCTAACTAATGAAAGCCAAGGGTGACAGCATCAAGGTCATGACCAATGCAGCAGCTGAAATGCCAGCATGAAGCTAGGAGCTTTTCGTTTAGGGTGGCACCGTTCTTCAAATGCCTGTGCCTCTCTCATTAGCACATTCACGTAGACTCATCACTGGATGTGGCTAAGAGCCCAGGACAGGCAGGTGAAACTCAGAACTCTAGTTCCAGGAAGGACTGGTACACACGGTAACCACTAGCCCAATAGAGTATCTAAAACCGAAGGAGTCTAATAGTTGGGATCCAACTAGGGCAGGCGACGCTGAAAAGCCAGGCAAGTGTGGGCAGCATAGATCCAGTGGTCAGTTTGCCTGGGGACTCAGTCTGTGGCTGATAATGGGCAACTGTCAGCCCCCCTTCCCTGTTTCCTTAGAAGCCAGCAGTGGCAAAAACGTTAAGCTCTGGCACTACCAAGTGTTAGCAAAGATGGGGAACAACAGTAACGGCTGGTGTGAATGAATCCATACTCATTTCAGAAAATGTCCTTGTTTAATGCAGTTGAAGATTTGTGTTACCCCATGTGGTAGGCAAAATAATATCCCCCTAAAATAAATCTATGTGCTGATTCTTGGAATCTGATATGTTACTGCGCATGGCCAAAGGAACTTTATAGATACTAAATTTATGATCTCATGATGAGGATATTTATTATCCTAGATTACTCAGCCCCAGCGTAATCACAGCTCCTTCTAAGTGCAACAGGGCAGCAAGAGAGTCAGAGTGCTGTAGCACGACGCAGTCTCACCCTGATGTGCCTGATGCCTGGCCGGGGGAGGGCAATGGGCCAAAGAATGCAGAGAGCCCTAGAAGCTGGAAAAAGCAAGTTAAAAGGATTCTCCAGTAATGCCTCCAGAAGGAATTCAGCCATGCCTACACCTTGGATTTCAGCCCAGAGAGACCCAATTTGGACTTTTGACCTCCAGAACTCTGAGAGGATGAATTTGTGTCATTTTAGGCCACCACATTTACAATCGTTTGTTACAGCAGTCAGAGGAAATCTGCACGGGCCACAGCCGCATCATTCTCCTCCCAGGGATGCTTGTTCATATGTCTCAGTCACTTTCATGTTGCTGGGTTGAACTACTGGACACCCGCAACTTAAAGCAGGAGTTTATTTTGGCTCACATTTTAGAAATTTCAGGCCTTGTGCAGTTTGCTGGCTCCAGGCAGAAGCAGCATGGCAGAGGAAGAGCCATTCACATCATTCAGACAGGAAGCAGAGCATCAAGGGAGGAGCTAGGAAGGAGATAAACCCTTCCAGGTCATGCCCTCAGTGACCCGCCTCTTCCTCCCGGATCTCACCTCCTAACAGCAAATCAGCTGTATCATCCCCATGATTCAGTCACCTTTCAAACACGTGAGGCTTTGGGGGCCATTTCAGGTCTAATGTGCCAGGAGATCATTCCAAGAATGCCCATGGTAGAACTCTTATACATTGTTGGTGGGAACATAAATTGTTATGACCATTAGGTAAAACAGCATGGATGTTCCTCAAAAAGTTAAAAATAAAACTACCATGTGATCTAGTAATCTCACTACTAGGTATCCATCCAAAGAGACAAAGAGACACCTGCCCTCCCACACTGAGTGTAGCACTATTCACAATGGCCAAGCATTGGAAACAAGGTAGCATCCATCAACCAATGAATAGATAAAGAAAATGTGTTATAGATACACCATGGAATACTACGCAGCCTTTAAAAGGATAAAATCCTGTTATTTATGACAGTGAAGATGCGCCTGGAGGACATTATGTTAAATGAAATAAGCCAGGCACAGAAAGACAAATACTACATGATCTCACTCACATGTAGAATCTAAAAAAGGTGATCTTAGAGAAATTGAGAATAGAATACTGTAGTACTGTAGTGGTTACCAGAAGCTGGGGAGAGGAGGAGCAGGAAGAGGCTGGTCATTGGGTACAGAAGAGAGTCAGACAGGAGGAACTGGTTCTATGCTGATAAATGTAGTTTACAATAATAACTGTGTATTTCAAAATAACGATAGCAGGAATGGATACAGTTTACAATATTTTGTTGAATAAATCAAAATAGCTACAAGAGAGGATTTTGAATACTCACCGCAAAGAAATGATAAATGTTTCAGGTGATGGATATGCTATTGCCCTGATTTGATCATTACCCTAAATTAGTGAATGGAAACATCACATTGTACCCCATAAATATATGTAATTATTATATCAATCAAAAATTTAAATATTTTTTAAGAGAAAAGAATACCCATGACATCCAAAATTTGGGACAGTTCTCAGATGGACCTGGGCATGGTGGTGCACACCCATAAATTCAGGATTGTGGGAGGCTGAGACAGGATGATTGCAAGTTCAAGCCTAGCTGGGGCAATTTAATGGCTTCGCAAGAGCCTGTCTCAAAATTTAAAAACTTTTTCCTTAAATTCTTTTATTGGTACATTTTAGGTATACAGTACATTTACATTTATCACTGGGTGCTTGTACCTGTACATGATGTATCTTGGTTCTTATTTTTCCCCATTTCCTGTCCTCCCTTCACCCTCTCTACCCTTCCCTAATTACAAAGACTTTGTTTCTATTTTTTCCTTTTCTTATAATTTTTCCTTTCCCTTCTTTCCATTCCCCTACCCCTTGCACTTCCCTTACCATTTTGGACCTTTTCTTCCTGTTTCAAATTATCAATTATTCATTTTAATCATTATGTACACTTTTAATTTCTCACACCAGAGAAATTATTCAGTATTTACACATGTGTGTCCTATTTATTTCACTTAAGAGTATGGCCTCAATATGTATCCATTTAGCTATAAATGTCTTTAGCTTCTCTTTCTTTATGGCTGAGTAGTACTCCATTTTTTTTTTTTTTAAAAACCCACGTCTTCTTTATCCAGTTTCCAGTTGATGGGCACTTGGGCTGTTTCCAAGCTTTAGCTATTACAAACTGTGCTGCTATGAACATGGGTGCACATACATCGCTGTGGTATGATTCTTTTAATTCTTTGGGGAAGATCCCCAGCAGGGGGATAGCTGGGTCAAATGGGACCTCCAGCCCTAGTTCTTTGAGGTATCTCCACACTGATTTCCACAGTGGTTGCATCAGTCTGCACTCCCACCAGCAGTGGAGCAGGGTTCCTCTTTCCCCACAGCCCCACCAGCATTTGTTATTGGTTGATTTCTTGATAGCAGCCATTCTTTCTGGGGTGAGGTGGAATCTCAGCGTTGTTTTCATTTGCATCTCTCGAATGACCAGTGATGTTGAACATTTTTTCATATGTTTATTTGCTGCTTTTACTTCTTTGAGAAATGTCTGTTCATTTCAGATGCCCATTTTTGAATTGGGTCTTTGAATTTGGGGGGTCTGATTTTTTTCAGTTCTTTATATATTCTAGATAGTAGACCTTTGAGGAACAGCTGCTAAAAAGTTCAAAATTTAAAAAGTTTTTAAAGGACTGGGGCTAATTGCAAAGGCCCTGGTTCAATCCCCAGTACCACAAAAAAAAACACACAGCGACATCAGTGGCCTGAGAGGCAATGAGTGCATCCTGTCCCCTGGGCCAGAGGGTGTTTTCTCCTAGCACTGCCTTGGGTCCCGACTGTCTCTCGTTGGCCCCAGACTGCCAGGCCCTGGTAGGCTCTGACTAGCGCTCCAAGTCCTGACTTCCCAGAGAGTAGCCCCAGGCAGCATGCAGGAAGTCAGCAGTCCTAGTTGCTAACTGCACAATTTATCAGGCCAGGGCTTGAAGCAGGGGTAGCGTAGGGTCGCAGCACATTGCCAAGACCACAGGCTCCCATGGTCTCCCAGTCTGCCTGGGACTACTTGCGTGGCCAGCTGTTGGCTTTCCTGGTAAGAACTGATGACACTCAGTAGCTTTGACTGTGGTCTCCTCTTCCCTCGGCCCACCTGGAGTGGTAGTGATGGCAAGGAATGGACTCAGGACTTAGTCATTGGGAATGGTGACGCCTGGAGTTGTTCGGTACACGCACTGCACAGCTGTACACAACAGCTCTGTTAATGAGCAAAGAGGTGCAGCCAGTAAGGAAAGCCTATTTAAGGGGGCTTTACTATGTACCAGGCATTTTTCATACAGGAATTGCCCAGTTTTACCACGGGACAACTGACTAACAAGTCACTAGGCTCACCCAGCCCTTGTGGAGATGGGCTTCAGAACTTAGTGGACATTAAAGTTAAAAGTTCAGTATGAAATGATCTCCTATGATGGACATGTTCTTTCTCTGGCAACCTCAGAACTCACAGGTCTTTAAAAGGGGAAGACAAATCCTGTCTCCATCTGTCTTTGCTCAGGCCCCAGCAACCACTTCCTGACTCTGGCTGCCTGCTCCCTTTCCTCCTGCCCTTGCTGTTAACCCGGCCTCGCTGGGCCACGCTCCGTCTCCCTTCCCAAGCCGTACCCCTCTTCCTCTGGATGGCCTAGGGCCTGCTGTCGGCCCCTCCTTCTGGAATCTTCCTCTTAGACTCCAAGTGACAGGGTAGCCATTCCATATCTGCGGCATCCAGGGGCTGGGCCAAGCGCTCATCAGAGGAGATGAGCTCTCTGCTGGAGGAGCCCAAGGTTAAGGCCAAGGCAGGCACTAATCAACTAGGCACACAAGCCATGCTTGAGGATCCTGGGCCTTAATGGAGTGGTTGTGGGCTGCACAAGTCCAGTGGCACTATTTATGTTACTGTCTGTGGCAACGGCATCCGAGAGTTACGCAGTAGGCATCCTGCACACCCACAGGCCAGGGGTCTGGCTACAGCAGGTAAGGAATTGGACAGGGCGTGAGGGGCCCAGTTAGGAACCTGCCACCTGTTCCCAGTGTCACTCTTCTCTTCATGCTCACACCTGTGAGCTCCACACTCCTCTTGTTTGACTTGCATAAAATGTAAGAAACACTCAACACCAAGTCAGGGGCAGGCAGGCACAAGGCCAGAGGACATGGCTTTCACCTGCGGAGGGTGACTCAGGGTGGGGCTCCCGCCTCCACAGAAGCAGGGCAAGGGATCAGGGCTTAGCACTGACCAGGGCCCCACGTGGGGGCTGCTGTGGGTGGATGGACCGCAGACAGGGACAGCAGAAAGGAAAGCTGGGAGCTCTCTGGGAGCCTACAGTCCATCAGCAGGAGAGCTGGGAGTGAGGCTGGGTCCCACACAGGCTCGCTCTGCGACCAGGATCAGCCCTGGGCTCTCAGCTCGTGGCCGTCTGTTCATTTTGCCGTGCTGGTGCCCAGGCCTCAGTACACCTGGCCATGGTGGCCACCAGCCTCCCGCTCTGCCTGGTCTTGAAGGAACCCTGCTGCGGGACCAGGGCATGGCCGGAGTCCCCAGTCCCTTCCTTCCCAGAGGCTCACTGTGACGGCCCCTCCCTCTGAATCCCACTTTGAATGTTCCCTCCTCTGGTCTCCAGCACTGTTACGCTTGTGGAAATCACCTCTATCGGGAGAAATGTCGCACACATAGAGAAGTGCATAAACATAATTGCACAGGTTAGTGAAACCCCACGCGGCAAGCCGCCACCTAGGTCAACAGGAAGGCCAGCTCCCTCCAGCTTGTCCTGCTCCCTTTTTCACACAATCCTCTCCCCTCTCTCAAGGGAACCACAGTTTTACTTTTGCTTTTTGCTATAATTTTGCTACCTAAGTACACCTTCCTAAATACAGTAGTATACAGGGCTCCTTTATTAATGTGTTTGCTCTCGCTCTTCAGAGGATGGCGCTCTAAGGGAAGGCTGAGGGATGGCAGCAGAGAAGGCACCTTGTGTGGGGAAGGAGAGGGGATTGCTGCCAGCACAGTTAGAGGAGCAGAGAAGGTGGTAAACCACGCACAGGTGGAAGTTCAGGGAGGGCTGTACAGAATGTATCAGTGGGCCATTTCCTGCCCGGCAGTGGCCAGTTTCCAGCCTCTTGCCTACAAAATCTCCCAAGCCCCACAATTTGGAATTCAAACCTTTCAGGGTGCAGCCCCTGCACCCCACCTCTCCAGCCATCCTCATCTGTTTACAACTGCCCAGAAGAGTTGGGTTTAGTGAGACACAGCCAGCCTCTGCCCTCTGCTTTACCTGTCAAGCTCCTGTGACATTGTATGGTCCTCATTCAGGTATTGCCAGGAAGGAAGGAAGGAAGGAAGGAAGAAAGGAATTGCCTAAAGCTCAGGAAACCCTGGTGGAAATCACACCTCAACCCCAGCTTCCCTACCCACGCTGTGCTTGATGTGACGCTAACTCGCTGAGTGCCCTGCCAGGCCCCTTTCTCTGCATGGAGGGTTCCTGTGTCCTCCTGAGCCCTCCCTGATGAGGGGAGGCAGCCCGGGGCCAATGGTCCACCTTGTCCCTGCTGAAGTCCAGGCATCCACCTTTTTCTCTCGCACCTTGTGAAGGTCAGAGGCAGAGGGACAGGAGCCCTCAGGACAGGTGAGACTCAGCAGAGTCAAGCCGGGGCCCCTCGTCCGGATATGCCGTTTCCAGTACGAAGCCTGCGTGCCCTGGTGCCTGCTTTATTGCACTGAGAGGTGACTCCCTGTGCCCTAGACTTCTCCCCTGGCTTCCTCTATCCTCTGACTCTGCTGTCCTTCCACACCCACCTGCCCCCGGCTGCCATGAGCCAGCCCAGGACCATGCTGGGCAGATAGGGATGAGCGGCGGATGGACGAGGAGAATCATTGCCAATGTTGGAGCTTGCGGCCCCACTGAGGCACTTGATGTTTTTGTTTCTCTGCAGATATTGTCAACTGCGACCTGAAGTCCACACTGCGAGTGCTGTACAACCTCTTCACCAAGTACCGGAACGTGGAGTGAGGAGGCTCTGGGCTCCCGCGGCCTGGGGCCTCTTGCTGCAGGCAGACTGGACCAGCCCCGGAATTGTCTTTCCCTGCTTGTTCCTGCGCTGTGCTCTCCCACAAGCCCCTTGTTTGCAACCCAGAGATAGTGGGAATTGGAATTGAAACCAGGAAGGAAGTGACCAATCAGTCTGTGGGCTGACTCCACCTCCCAGACCCCAGGAACTGACCCAGCTATGACCCAAGAAAGCTGTCCCTATCCAGGTGCCAGGCCCACATTTCCCTCCGTGTGCTCTGGGAATAAGCTCAGACACAACTGAGTCCCGGAAGATGAAAATAAAGACCATAGTTGCCATTAAGGGGCATAAACTATGCCAGGCACCACACTTAAGTGCCCCGCTGGATTCAGATTCATTAACCCTCACGACTCCTTGGAAGTTGATGTTATAATCCCCTTTGGCAGATGAGGAAACTGAGGCTCGTGGGTCGAGTGACTTGCCAGGAGGAGTTGGCATTTGTTTCTCCTCTTTGAACAACACTTCTTAGTAACTGGTTACAGCACACGCTCTGTGCCTGCGCACACCCCGAGTCTTCAAAGAAGACCGGAGCCACTGACCTCACCGTGAGGGCAGGCCAGGTCAGCGCTGGCTGCTTCACACTGAAACTGGCAAATTGAATTTAACCCAATTAATAGTATGTGTGTGGCACGAGTCATGTCCCTCAAATCCTTTGTACAAATGAAAATTACTCTTAATTCCTTCAGATTTATAATAACCCCATACCCTGGTTTCATGGTGACATTTGGGAAGGATTCTGTTTAGAATTAATGGAGTAGCACATTTTGCAGCCTTTCTGCTTGATTGCATGTAATGGAAATGCCCTATATTTTCCTGCAAAATAAGTACTCAATTCATTATCGTTAGGCAAATGTACAATATACTCAGGCACCACAGAGAGCTGGGCACAGGCCCATATGAGCATCGCTTGGGAAGTAGGGCTCTTCAGCAAAGGCCCTTGAACTTTGAAGAAAGGAACTCCTCTCTGCCTTCTAATTGATCATTCAGACCATTCTGGCTAAATCTGCCCACATGCAATTACCAACTAATTTAGGGGAGGAAAAATATAAGTCATTTAGACCAAAGCAGAGCAGTTCCCTTGCATGGGTGACTGACGGGCTTGTGGTTACTTGTATCTCCTGTATGTGAACCTGACTTTGAATTATAGAGCTCTCCTTATGCCAGGCTGTGCTGGGACCAGTAGGAAAAGGAAAGGGGAGGAAGGGGGGTAGGGAGGCAGAACCTAGGGGAACAAGCAGCAGACGGGAAGTATTTGCACACTTAACATAAAGGGGAATAGCCTCAGACAAGAGAGTGTGGCTCGTGGTACTTAACACTTGTGCCCTAAAATTGACCAGGGCCTTGGGATAAATAATCATGTGTGCTGATAGTGTATCTTCATTACAGAACTTTCATGAATACACCAGTTAAATACAGCCTGTGCAGCCTTCTCCAGAATTGTGTGACCGCCTTGTCACTAGCCCCTGTCTGGTCTAAGGAGTTTCTACACCATCGTGAGTCAGGCCTCCAGTTGTCCAAAACATTCCTTTAGCTTTCTCATCATTTACTATATTGTCTCTCTGCAGTAACTCAGAACCCAGAGATTTCAATACACTATGTATTTCTTTGGATATTTTGCTCTAAGAATTGTTACTCAGCATAATGAACATTTATGATGCAAAGGGAATGTCCCGTCTTGTGTCAATTTATTTACAAGAATGTAATTCTTTCTTACCTAATTAGTGAAACATGTCTGTCTTTGGGAAATACTCAATATTAGTGTAATGTTTCTTGTTGCTCTTTAAAATGTCTTGTAGCAAATCAAGATAAAGAAAAATTGCTTGGAAAAAAAATAATTGCTTGGTCTCCTTAAGCAATACAAAGTGGGAGAAAATAAGAGAAATGCATTCAGTCAAACATGCTTTGCTGTATAAATCTTGTCTCCTTTTTTGTCATTTTTCCCTCACATTCAAGGTGAAAAAGTACAGGTACCTTTATTAAGGGCACTCTTTTTTCAGATGTATTTGCATAATGAAAACGCACTGGAACACTTGGAAAGTTTTTAAATAACAGTTCTAATTTATCAGAAAATTGTGCTTCAGGATAGATCGTTCCAGAATCAAGGGGTGTGGCTCTAGCTTTATAACCCTGTCATCTCATTCCTGTAGATTCTGGAATCTCCTACTGAAGATATGTCCAAGGTTATGAAAGGAGAAAGATGCACCAGAATAGTAACACTGCAAACCAAACTTTACCTTCATCTCCAGGGCGGGGTGGGGGTGGAGGCCGACACTGAAATATAACTCAAGTCTCAGGCTGGAGGTGTAGCTCAGTGGTAGAGCTTGCCTAACACGTACAAGGCCCAGAGTTTGATCCCTGGCACTGCAGAAAGGCAATAAGTCTCTGCAGATTTGTATTACTGTTTTCTCTTCTAAATTTAAATTCACTATTATTTTTAATAGTTAATACAAAAATAGTACAAAATTCATAAGGCATAAATGGTTATCTAATGAAACTCCTGAGTCTCCATCTCTCTTCCCCTCAGCAGCCATGATCCTCAGCTGTTTTGATCGTTTCTTATGCACATTTCTGGGGATACTCCAGACAGATAAAGCCTGACCTACATGTAAAATCTTTGGGTTTTAAAAAATATAAATAGTCGGGCCGAGGATTTAGCCCAGTGGTGCCACTGCCTGCCTCGCAAGCACAAGGTCCCAAGTTCGATCCCCGGTACCAAAAAAAAAAAAAAAAAAATATATATATATATATATATATATATATATATATACACACACATATATACATACATATATACATATATATATGTATGTGTATGTATATATATAGTCCATTTTACATGCTGTCATGCACACTCATTTGGTTTTTGTTTGGTTTGGTTTTTTCATGTTGTTTTATCTTGGAAATTGCTTTATATTGGGTATTAACAAAAATCTTTGTACATTTTAAAATGAGAATGTGAGTGCTCTACAAACCCATATGCAACCTCTAATCTGCTGGAGCTAGGAAAGGCAAGCCCTGCCGGAGGAGAAGCCACCTCTACTGTGAGGTGCAGGGTGCAGGCAGAGAGGCAAGGGGCCTGGTACCAAAGGGATGGTCGTGTGCCTGGAACTGAATTTTTTAAAAATTCTCTTTGAAAACATTACGATCAACTATGTGCAATTTTTTTTTCTTTTCTCTTGGTGCTGGGGATAGGACCCAGAGCCTTGTTCATGTTAAGCACACATTCTACCACTAGCTACACCCCTGACCCCAGCCCAATTGTGTACAATTTGATTCAGGTATCATTTTTACATATTACTAGGTCTACTAATCTGTAATTGACTAAGAATGAATTATAACGTTTACCAAGTGCCCTACAATATTGGGCTCCAAGTCTGGCTACCAGCCTCACAGTTTATCAATTACAGTCAAAGGCTCCAATTTCCTACGTGCAGGTAGAGTAGACATTTCTCCAAAGTCTGGGAGAAGTTTTCTTCATCAGCACACCACCAGTGCTTCCTTGAGTTGGTTGCAATTTTCAACTGCTGCCATTGGTACTTTTTAATTAGGAATTACTGTTAGCTTAGCTTTATCATTACCTGTTTATTTTGTTGTGGGTTGCTTGGTTAACCCTACAAAATACATTGAAGCTTATTTGCATCAACAGTGTTCTAGGGCTATAATTTTCCAATAACTAGTCTCTACGACATGTATACATTGTGGTTCCATTGTGAATCATTCTACCCCAGCCCTAGAGCAAATATATACATAGTCCACTCCCTCCAAATTGCCACTAATTTATTTTTCCACTGGAAAATGAGATCGATGGAATTGGTAGGTCGACCAGTTTTGCCTTGTGTAAGTGGGGACAGATCAAAAATAATTTGAGATCCACTGCCTTTAATATAGCCCACTCCAAGAATCCTAGCTATATAGTATGTCCTATTTGTACAGACGAATATGTCCTGAAATCTTCACTAATTCCAATACTGCATGTCATTTCCCCCATAAAATTCACTTAGGTCTGTTGAGAAATTCAAGAGAGTGGCTGCAGATACTGAGCACAAAAGAACCACACTGAGATCAGCTCAGGGTCCTACCTCCATGCACCAGCTTCTGAAATACTTTCAGAGTCAAGTCTTTCGGAAAGAAGTCAGTGTGAGTCGATCATGCTATAACTGCAAAGGTTATATCCACAAACACCTAAGTCTCTGCTTTTTTAAATTTTTCTTTTCTCTGAAAAATATAACCTTGGGAAAGCGCCAAAATCTGCTTATGGCCCCATCTTTCCTGAAGCGGCAGAGGCTTGTGTGAATGTGTGCATATGTGCTCACGGCAGCTCTGCACTAATTGTGCCCAAAGCAGGACGACTCACCCTCAAACCAAGCCTGGCCACCCTGAGAACTGCAGGCTTCCCAGGGAGGAAGCTGCCAGTGAAGCATCTTAAAGTATGCTCTGTCGGACATTAATAGACATTGGGTGAAAAATGTCACACTCAAGTTTGGTAACGTAAGGCTAAGAAGTCACTAGCTAGCTTACCTCGATTTGGGTTTTGTTTTTGTTTTCTAACTGGAGCCCATCTCAGAGTTCCCTACACTAATGAGTATCAGTACTCCTAAAGGAAAACAGAATAGGGAGCCCAGAGACAGGGTTCCTCCTTGTTGACCATGGGACTCATTTGTTCCTTGAAAAATGGCTAGGATGACTACTCGGTGGCCCTCACCCACTCATTTAGCCAGTTAGCCATAGATTCAGCAAGTATGTACCGAGTGACAACACGCAGTCTAGAGAAGGAGACACACACACAGCCTAGTGCAGTGGTGGCAAAACTATGGCACATGTGCCACAGCAAGCTGTTTGTGTCATTGACAGCTCTAAAAGGTTTGCCATCACTAGCCTAGTGTTAAAAATTGTGATAACCACTATAAAGAAGTGCAGTCTCCTCTCCATGCATGAGTTCTGCATCTACAGACCCAATCAACCCAGATCAAAAAGAGTTTTTAAAAGTTTGTATCGATACTGAACATGTCCAGACTTTTATTATTATTCCCCAGCTGATACAGTAGGATAACTGTTCACATAGCATTACATTGTACTAGAATTAGAAGTCATCTACAGATAATTTAAAGTATAGGGGAGGAGGACTGCTCAAGTTATATGCAAGTGCTATCCCCTTTTGTACCAGGGACTTGGGTAATGCAGAGTTAGGTATCTTCAGGTGGTCCTGAAGCCTGTGCCCCCCCCCATACAAAAGGACGATTGTACTGAAATCTGAAAGCAGTCTGATTCTTGTTGCTGATAAATCTGATTTAGATTTTAAAGTCGGGAGAGGTCTCTGGCAGAATGATGTTTTAAAAGTAACACTAGAGTCAAGTGCAGAGCCTGCCATTCAAGGGCACAGCAAGGCTGAGTATCCCCAGGTAGAAGACTTAGTTCCCTGCAGGACCCAGCAGGAATCCAGAATGGCTAAAGTATGAGACACTAGAAGACGAGGTGTCAGATTGCAGGCATAAGAAAAATGAGCAACATTTAAAATCATTCCACTGCATGGGAAGCTACGTGAATGACACAGAGGTCTGGGACTGCCCTCATCTCCAGCCTTGACCAGGCTGGAGAGCAAGAAAGGAGGTGGAGCCTCTTCCCACCACACCCCCAGGCTGGTCTCCATGACAACTGCTGGGCAGCCCTGCCTGCACGCACCCAAGGCTGCAGAGAGGGGAGGGGCTCCCAGGCCAACCCCAGGCTCTCTGCATGTTACCCTCTGACACTGAACAAGGCTGAAAACCACCAAGGGTACCCTTGCTGCGAAGCTTCTCATGGCAGAGGATGCCTGTCCCAGTCCTGTGTGGGTCCCACGGCAGACACAGGGAACGCCATCATCCAGCCTATGTGCAGCATACGGCCCAGTTGTCTGTTGGTATCCAGCTCCAGGGTCCCCTGCACGCACGTACTCAAGTCCCTTCTATAGAATAGCATGGTTGCCGGGCACAGTGGTGTAACCCTGTAATCCTAGCTACCCTGGAGGCTGAGGCAGGATGATTGCAAGTTGTAGGGCAGCCTGGGCAACTTAGCAAGACCCTGTTTTATGTAAAACACTTTAACAGGTGAGTGTCTTGTGATACATCATTCATAGCTAGGTTTATTATTTTGCGGGCGGTTTTGAAATGCCAGAAATATCCTAGTAATCCCTACCCAAGAGCCCCTTATTGGAAACTGGTGGGTGGCTGCCCAAGATGGATGCTTCTCCTCAGAGGCCCATGCCCTGGGCAAGCTCACTCTTGACTCAGTTTCCCCGAACCTTCCACCTGCAGGTGAGCACTAGCTTCAATGCTGGCCATTTGAAAGGCACTTAGGAAATTCAGAGAAGCACAGTGATTAAGAGAAATGCTGTGGTATCAATGAGATGGACTTTCCATTTCTTTGTATTGATTTTCATGTTTTCACATCTTCAGATGTAATTGGTTAGCCCGGGGCGGCATTCCATGACACACAAATGTCATTAAGGCAACTGCTTTAAACAGTGCGCTGTTTTATTGCGGTGGACAGGACAATAGATAATCTGTTGCGCGTCTGCTCAGTATGGGAGTCGCGATGGGGCTGCACAGCTCTGCGCCTCTTCTGTGGCCTCCTAGAAACCTTGGAGATGGCCTTGCTGCTCGCCTGTGGAGACACAGTGCCTGCCCTTGGCAAATATTTGTCAGTGTTTCTGAAAGCAGCTCCCGGAAGCCTCTCCTTGCTTGGGCTGCAAGGGCTACCACACATCTTCCTTTATTTGTTCCAGTATTCAAGAATATCGGAAACTCTCCCTAGACTGGAGATCTTTGGAGTAAAAGAATGATCAGTGAGGTGGTGA